CCAGAGGTTGATAGACCTTAATAACCCTCCAGAGGTTGATAGACCTTAGTAACCCTCCAGAGGTTAATATAGATTAGCAATAGCAATTTCTTTATTGCTGTAATTAACTTCTAGTAACTGAATAGCAGTATCGTAGTCCTCATCACTAGGGACCAGGTGTTCGACAACTGCTTTTGCTTCACCCTCTAGGGTACTTTGCAAATAGAGGAATTTATTAGGTTTGCTAATAGATTTCTTGGAGTTTACTAAGGAGTCGAATGTTTTCCAATAGCATTCAAAATTCTCATCATCTCTACCATGGAAGTGAAGGAGATCAATTTTAGGAAGACGAACTTCCTAGAGTGTTTCACTTGTGGTTAGAGTATTTTGAGAAACTGAGTCGCTCTGCAATTTTTCTAGAGCTTGTGTTAATCTATTTAGATGATCTTGGGTACCCTCCTCAAACTTCTCCATCTCGGCATGGAAGGTATCTAATTGATCCGGCTCAGCATTCTGTTGCATGAGGACTCTGAGATAGTCATCTGCAGCCTTGTCTGTTCTTTGCAACTTTTGCTTGGCCGTCTCTATGAGGTTTTCTAATACTTTGGCTGTGGCACCTGATTGTACCAGCTGATCACACTTATTCAACTGTCTAGTCACATGGCCTTTGTGACTCGTGTGTGATCTAAAATATAATAAGCAATTGCTGGACATTTCTTCTGGTGCACTGCCTGCGGATGTTGGCTTAGTTAGTGTAATGGCTTGGCAATGTAAATAACTGGGGTACTGATTCATATATACGTGGAATCAGTACGGTTATTAATAGCCTAATATCTGATTCTTCAGTTGGACTATGTGAATCCTACCTCACGTAGAGGTTAGCTTACCTACCTAATAGTAAACATCTAATATTTGAGTGGCATTTCAGTGTCTACAGGAATTCCTCTGCTTAGCTCCTCATAATCAGCTTTGGATGGGTAGTGACACTTCAATAACACTCAAAATGTACACAGTAAACATATATAATAATAGAAATATAGAAAACACAATTTGTGTAAAATAATGATAAGTCCTACCCTGACTTGGGTTTGCACAATAATAAATGATGACTAGGTTGTACGGTCTTGTACAATCCTAGTCTACGAATAATCCTACCTATCTAGGTTGGCTAGTAATAATGAGTTAGGCTAGAGTTGTACACTACAAAGTACAATTCCAGTCTAAGAATTCTATTCTACATGGATTGGCATAAAATGCTATAATACTACTGATGTGCAGATTCAGGATAGTGCTGTGTTTTTGTGTTTTTATAATTTTTGAGTTATATAGAGTATATGCAAGTGATTATATATGCATGACAATTATTCTACCACTACAAATGATTATATATGTGGCAGATATTTTACTGCCATAATTCTATATGTGTGGCAGGTATGTTGCCATGGATTCTATGAGTGGCAGATATGCTGCCGTAAATTCTATCCTAGTACCTGATAATACTCCCTAATTAAAGAGTATAATGTTATCAGGGATGAAAAATTATTATTAATGAATTGTAGATAGCCTAACTTCTGGCTATATTCTACTAATTCTACTACTGATGCTGGTTCGTGATTGATTACAAGGATCTTGGTTCGAAGGACCATAAAATATGTGGGGAATTCTGCCTCCAGTATAATACTAATAAAATGTATAATTTTAAGAATGCAAAATAATGATTAATTCTAAGATAGCTCGAAGGACCAGAATGAGTAATTAAATGAGAAAATCAGTGGCTTATAGATCTATGATTATATGAATAAATTCTATTAATTAAACAATGACTGTAAATTATATATTTCTAGAGCCAGTCTCCCATGACACATTTTGGGGGGGTATTCTATAAGATTAATCTATGTGTAACATATATTATGCAATAATAATAATAATTATAATATGCACACACATAGGTAATGAGTAAACTATGTAATGCAAAATACTACTGCAATGTGAAGATTAATAATGCATATATGGCAGTATCAGATATATAGATATATGTATATGGACTCTGAATAATAAGGTACTATCTACAATAAAAACTGTTTATGTCTCAGCTGTGACAGGGGACGTAGATGCAGTCCACTGTACGCCAGTCTGGAAACAGTTTGAGATAGTGTTACTTGGCACACGTGAGGGTATGGAGGTCACACGCTTCCTCAGGGGTGTTGCACCATGCTGCAATAATGATAATTCCGTAATGTCCACTCCAAACTAGTATTTACACACATATAAGGTAATATCTAAATATTTGGAGGGGAAAGAGCTGCACTTACATGGAATTTTGGGTACGCCCGCAGCCTGACGACATGGCTGCCTATATTAATCATATTTAAGAGCTCTATAAATATTAATAAAAGGTAAAATGCCTGCCGAACTGGTGTCCGTGATTCTGGTAAGCTGCGTCCTCAATCTGGCATCGAAGGATGTTCGGATGCCGGCTGGATGAGCAGATTTTTTGGACCGCTTACGGAACACCACGCTTCTTGTTGGTAATGGCGAGAGACCTTCCCCTTTCCCCAAAGTCGCGCATGCGCAATAGCTCGCCATGAGGATTCGAGCATAAATTATATTTATTTATTAACGCTAAATAGGGAAGGGGACGTGTATGAACACTCATGATGATTTAGATAAATTCTTTATGCGGAGATGTTTAATGCTTACAGTGCACGTCAGTCAATGTAGACAGCACAAATAAAACAATACGGGCTTGGTGGTGGAAATGATGTTAGATTATGATATGATTTACTGGAACAGCGATTAAGCTGGGTAAGGAAATTCCAGTAAACTATTGTATACTAAAAGTAAACCTATTACTAAATTATTATTCCTAATAAAGGAAAGTAAATGGTTACATTGGTGTTAGATCTACAGGTATGTGGAAATTTTATCCTCCGTGCGTGGCTGACGCAACACTACACAATTCTAGGAGAAATTACATGATGTTCCACAACCTAATACAGTAAATTCTACAATACTAAACTACGTATTAGTAGTGTTAGTCAATTATTACTCTTAATACAGGAAATACATCCTGTTGTATTAAGGATTATTATATGAACATTAGAAGTGTATAAAGCCTAATACAGGAAATACATCCTGTTGTATTAGGGATGAAAATAACTGTTGGAAATTTCCAACAAGTCCTGACCCTCTTGCTCTAAATGTCACAGTGAATACTTCAACTAAATAAAGTCCATCTTTGGCTAACTGCCAACAAACTCACCCTCAACATTGACAAAACGTTCTATATTTTGTTTGGTAATGAATCCTCAGATCAAATTAATCTAAGACTAAACAATATCCAAATTAGTTTAGTTAGTAACAAGTTATTAGTAACAAAGTAGATGATAAATTCCTTGGGGTTCTCATCGATAACAAGCTGAATTTCCAGGGACACATTCTAAATATAGCAAAAAAAGTTTCTAAAACTGTTGGCATTCTTTCTAAGATCAGATATTATATACCTCGCCCTGGCCTGGTGACGCTCTATTATTCCCTCATCTATCCTTATCTCAACTATGGTATTTGTGCTTGGGGTTCTACTACCCAAAATCATTTACCTCCTCTAATTACTCAACACAAAGCTACTATTAGAACAATATATAACTCTAGTCCTAGATAGCACTCGGTACCCCTTACTCAAATCTCTGAATATGTTAGATATTACGTCACTGTGCATCCTCTCATGTGCACTCTAAATATTTAAAACTCTGAATTGTAATGTATATCATGACCTTAAATGCTTCTTAGAAAGTTGTAACAGAACCCATGGGAACCACACCAGAAACAAATACCTATTTGATATTCCAAGAGTGCGCCTTACCCAAGCTAGAAATGCTCTACAAATCAAGGGACCCAGAATCCCAGACCCAGATCTCTCTCAACCTCTCAAAGGCTGTATCTTTCTCAACCAGTTCTCAATGTCATGTTTTTTTATTAATAGATTTAAGTATCCCCTTTGTAAGCCAAGGATTGTTTAGCCTTTTATTTGTGACTTGTTTCGTTAGCAAAGGACAGTGGGTGTTATAAAGGCTGAGAGTTTTTTGAAGAAATAATTGCACTGCTAGATTGATATGTCCCCAATGTTACCTAATTCGGACTCCCAGTTGATATTTGCAGCAGCAGCTATAACATTGCCTATAGAAGTTTTATTGTGCAGCCTAAAGCTTATCTTCCTTATAATCTCTAGAGGTGGTTTATTAATGTTGGTTAGGAAAAATGTGGGGTAATGGTCTGTATTGCTATCAATGATTATCCCTGAAGTAAGCGGAGAGGTTATGTTGGTCCAGATGTGATCAAGAGCCGTGGCCGTACTATCAGTAATTCTAATACGTCTAGTGATTAAGGGTATCAAGTTCAAGTACAAGTATGTTTATTGAGATAAGCAATAAATACATCTCAAAGGGATAGAGTAGCTTAGACTATTTCTACCCCCCTTTAAGGGTATGAGGAAGCAGGAATTACCACTACACCACAGTCTCCGTGGTGTAGTGGTAAGACACTCGCCTGGCGTTCCGCGAGCGCTGTCATGGGTTCGTATCCTGGCCGGGGAGGATTTACTGGGCACAATTCCTTAACTGTAGCCTCTGTTTAACGCAACAGTAAAATGTGTACTTGGATGAAAAAACGATTCTTCGCGGCAGGGGATCGTATTCCAGGGACCATAGGATTAAGGACTTGCCCGAAACGCTACGCGTACTAGTGGCTGTACAAGAATGTAATAACTCTTGTATATATCTCAAAAAAAACAAAAAAAAAATAAAAAAATTCATGCAGTTAAGGAAACTAGCAGCAGGAGGGTTTTCAGGAACGCAGAGGTTATTATCTTATCATATTATTATTATTATATTTATTGTTATCATAATAATAATAATTATTATTATTTGGTGTCTTTCACCTTAAATAATAATATTATTAGCATTATTGTAATATTTAGTAATCTTATTGAGAAGTGAGATATAATTTAAGCCTGTAGACGCTGATGCATTTGTAAACATCAGATGGTAATTTTGGCGGGGCCTTGAGTGTCGCTGGAGGTGCGGAAGGACTGTTCGTAACATAGTACTGGTGACGGTGAGGAGTACTGGTCGACGGTGAGAAGTACTGGTGACGGCGAGGAGTACTGGCGACGGTGAAAAGTATTGGGCGACGGTGAGAAATACTGGGCAACGGTGAGAAATACTGGGCAACGGTGAGAAGTACTGGGCGACTGTGAGAAGTACTGAGCGACGGTGAGAAGTACTGGGTGACTGAGAAGTCCTAGGCTGCAATTGGAAATATTGGGCCATTGGAGTGTTGAAACATTTTGGCCCTGTAAGGAGCATTGAGCTATTCCACAGTTTAAGAAGCATTGAATCAATTGACACTTTGAGGAATATTTAACCAGTCCACGGTTTGAGGAGTATTGAATCTTTCGACGACTTGAGGACTTTTGAATCGTTTGACCTCTTGCGAAGAGCATTGTATCGTTCGACCCAAGGAAGATGCCGAAGAGAGCATGTCCATTCGAGGAATCTTTCAGGCCGCAGCTCAAGGTTCACGTTGGAGTGAAAGAAGTGGAGTCTGGAGTCTTGAAAAAGGACAAGATGAAGGCTGTTTATGGTGAGAGAAAATGAGGGGGAGGGGGGGGGCAGGGTTGTCTTCTCCTTTGGATACTTAATTATTGTCATGAATTCAATTATTATTCACCCCATTTCTTGAGGGTAATGTTTCATGTCATTTTAATAGAATAATTCAAAATTTGTTTTTCAAGTTCCTTCGTGTGTGTATTGGTTAGAACAAATGCTTCTTCCTAAATGAGGGATACATGGTTCAAATTCTGAGTATGGTGTGATGATTTGAGAAATGCATGTTATTATGTACATGAGGCAGATTGTCAACATTAATTCTTTTTTGTATTAAGATAACCTAACTTAAATTTTAAAACTAATCCTGCATATGCTAATTCAGCCTAACCTGCTTGATACCTGCTTGATGGGGTTCTGGGAGTTCTTCTACTCCTCAAGCCCGGTCCGAGGCCAGACTTGACTTGTGAAAGTTTGGTCCACCAGGCTGTTGCTTGGAGTGGCCCGCAGGCCCACATACCCACCACAGCCTGGTTGGTCCAGAACTTCTTTTAGAAAACAGTTTAGTTTTCTCTTGAAGATAATAATATAGCCCTATATAATTTTAACAATTAGTAAACAAGCTATTGCAAAATACCTGCATACAGTTGGACTATACCCATAATTGGGCACAGTGCCTACACCCTGTTCATTCCTATGTGCAGTTGGGCACAGTTCTTTCACTGTTCATTTCTGTTCCCAGCAGTTGTTGGGGACCTACATTTACGTAGGTAACAAAATTTATGTTCTAGAGGTAACATGCAAGGCTGGGCTTTATAATATGTGAACTGGAAGGGGAAATTCATAGTTATGTAATCGCTAGATAACACTCGAGTGAAGGAAATGTCTAAGTGGCTACAACTGATTTATTTTTACACTGCTGTCATGGACAGTGACATAACAAGCACTCAGTGGTGATGAACTCAATCAACTTAGTTCTTGACTCACAATCAGGGATCCCAGGATCGATGCCTGAGCATGGCTAAAATATTTTGGTAAGTTTCTTTTAACGTAATGCCTCTGTTCACCTAGCAGTAAATAGGTACCTGGGGGGGGGGTTAGGCAACTGTTGTGGGGTTGCATCCTGGAAAGGGTCAGTAGGAGGGTATTGAACAACCTCATTACAAATCTAAAATATATATACTGTATACACAGGCTTCCTCTTCTTGACAAAATAAATTATACAAATGGTGATGTAGCAAGCAGTTGGTGGTGATCACTCTATCAACTATAGAAGACAATGATGTAATGAGCACTTTGTGATCACTGTTATCAACTATAGAAAATGGTGAGGTGACAGGCACTTGATGGTGATCACTCTACCAAATATAGCAGATGGTGATGTAAAAGCACTGTTATACTAATATTACTAGACATGTGTTTTCAGTGAATTTATCATAAATTATCAGTATTATGTTCTTTGCTTTAAGTGCTTTTTCTTCATTATAGCTGTTAGAGTTTAACACAAGTGATCAGATTTAGTTTTTCATCTATAGACACTTTTTTCCCTTTTGAGGTCTTCATTATTTATATAAATATTTTTTTGCATGGTTTAATCACCATGAGATGATAGAGATCTTTTAACACATTCCCCAATTTCAGATCGAACATTAAACCTCTTGTTCTGTGGTGCTAAAAATGTAATGAACAACAATGCAGTGGAGAAAATGGATGCCAGCCCTACTGGTCAGACGAACACCAACAGTCAAAACACCCTCCATCAGCTGGTCTTGACCAGTGCTGGAACTCTTGCTCGACCTCAATCACTTTCACAGGTTAGCCTCATTAAGACCATTATCTATTTCTGAGTTATAAAGGATTAATAAAACATTCTAGGTTTTGCTGTTTATTGTGAACTGATCTTATTGTGTAATTTTTCGATTCAACATCAACACGAGTGTGGCAGATTTTGAAAGAAAAATTTACAACATACACTCAGCCCCGGGTCCAGACTCTCTAAATTCATTATTTATAAAGAAATGCAAACTACCAGTAGCACAGGCCACAGGCACTCTGTATAGTGTGGAGGAAGAGCTTCGACATGGGGGGGGGGGGGTGGATACCAGATGCACTTAAATCAGCAGACATAGCCCCCCTACACAAGGAAGGGAGCAAAGCATTGGCTAAGAATTATCGACCAGTTGCACTAACGTCCCACATAATAAAAATATTTGAGAGAGAGTGATCAGGAGACAGGTCACCAGTTTCATGGAGACCAATGACCTCCACAGCTCGGGCCAACATGGATTTAGAGCAGGAAGATCATGTCTCTAGTAGCTACTTGACCACTATGACAAAATCACTGAGGCATTAAAAGAAAAACAAAATGCAGATGTGATGTTCACGGACTTTGCAAAGGCATTCGATAAATGTGACCATGGAGTGATAGCATACAAAATGAGGTCAATAGGAATAACTGGTAAACTAGGATGGTGAATATTAAATTTTCTGTCGAACAGAACACAAAGAGTAACAGTCAACTAAATAAAATCGAGTCCAAGTGCAGTTAAAAGCTCTGTACCTCAGGGTACAGTCCTTGCCTCACTGCTTTTCCTAATTCTCATATCAGATAGACTCGAATACAAGTCACAGCTTCGTATCATCCTTTGCAGATGACACAAAAATCACTGGGAAAATTACCTCTGCTGAAGACATTGAAAAACTACGAGGGAATATTAATAAAGTTTTGACTGGGCAGCAGAAAATAACATGATGTTTAACCCTGAAAGGGCTCAACATAAAGGGCTGGAACCGAAAAAATATTTGATTTGTGTGAAAATTACTTATAAATGTTAAACAAATATCCAACTTACTGGTTTCAGCGTCATGAAAGTTTCGTCAAAATATTTTCAGAAGTTGATTTTAGACGCATTATTTTTAAAAAGAAGAACGTTTTGTTGATAAGAACAGCTCCTATTAACTGGAACTGAGGGATAATGCAGTAATAAAGAGAGGCAAGCACCTGTCCGACACACAAAGAAGAAGAAAAGTAGTACAGTATGTGTCCACAAAGTGGATATGCAGCTGGCGCCTTTATAACATTACTGAGTAATACATAGCATTGCTAAATAATGCATAATAACACAAATAGTAATGCGTTAGTATGTTATTATGCTCTATTTTGTTATACATTATATCATATAAATACATTGCCCAATGTCAATATGTTACTTTCACCAATGTCCAAAAAAATATTTTTTTTAGGGGAATTTTTTCTTTTTTTTCCTCCTTTCATTGGACCAATTGGACACTGGACCAATTTCACTTTATCTTCACATAGTTAGAGATGCATATGAATTCTCCAGGATGTAGAGGTTACAACAAAATCGGATAATAAACAAAGGAGGAAAAAAGAAAAAGAAAAAATTCCCCTAAAAAAATAATTTTTTGGACATTGGTGAAAGTAACATATTGACATTGGGCAATGTATTTATACAATGTGCTTTAATATACCTACTAATCTCTCCCATCTCATTTTTCTTTTTTCTTGCAATGTATCTTTTATCATTTTATTAATTCTGCTTGAATTTACCTACTTAAAATTATCTGTTAGATTAACCCCTTAACTGTGCGGCCTCTAAATATGACACCCCCCCCCCCCCCCCAGTGCACAGGAAATAAAATCTCTGGAAAAAATTCTTTTCTGTTTTTAAAGTGTCAAAAACCCTTCCCTGAGTAAGGGTATAGTAACAGAAGGTCGAAATTGTAAGTACAGTACTGTACTTTAGCTGCTATGGGGTCCGTAAGTTCGTGCGTGACGTCATCATTCTCTGGTCGCTCGGGGCAGGATGCACGACTTGCTGTGAATATATTTTTGTTCATTTTCTGCGCACAGTTCCAAATACATTTTATATGCTTTTACGTGCCAATCATATGTATAATGAACATGTACACTATATTATGGCAGTAGAACATCCGTACTGTTCGAAGACACTGTGTTACGTGCATGACACATGTGTACATATATCCGGCACATATTTCCATTGTATTATGTTAATTTATGTATATATACAGTCTATTTACATATTATACACTATCATACACTATATACATTCACCATCAACACACTCAGAACTCCGTGAGTGTCAGCTGCCACACCTTCACTCCTCCAACATCCAGTCTCTCCCTCACTCCTCCAACATCTTACTCCCCAACATTGCTCCTTCCACCATACTGTTATTGTTTGTATTACACTATTTACTTATATTATGTATACCTATCTACATGTTTTATTCACCAGAACCATGCAAGTAAGCCGGTATTGTGTCCAAACTTTTCAGTGGCCACCATGCACTGCATGAGAAATCACACAGCAGCCAGCAGATGACGCTAAAATTACATCACCTCCCTCACCAAAATAGCTCCTCCCAACATACTCCTGTTGCTGTTACTACACCATATACACACATTGTATATACCCATGTACAAATGTGTTCACCATAGCGAACCACTAGGCTAGTATGATGAGCAAAACAAGAGTGGCTGCCACACAGTGAGGCTACCTTGATTCTCTCCCTCGCTCCCTCACCACAATTACTCCTCCCACAATACTACGCACAGTGCATATTATCACCACAGTCCTGCTGTTATCACAATACTGGTCACTAAATCCTGTAAATACATAATTGACCACAAGTTTATTTTGTAAAGGAACCTAAGAAGTCGTTTGAAGATTCCTAGATGGACGAAATAATGCTGTGGTGCTGTGGCTAACGCTGTGAACATTGTGAACATCATTGAATCACTAATATTTGAACATTGTATGCAGTCATTATCACACTCAGGCTCTTCTGTAATACTATCATGGCTAAATAATACAAATTATATATATATTTTGACATTATTAGGCGATGCTGTGGTCACAAGCTGAACAGCAGTGGTTAGCTGCTGTGCTGTGAGCTCATGCTGCGTGCGCTGGCCTTGGTTGCTCACTCACTACTGAGGCTCTCACACCCGGGAATGTGGACCACGATTTTTTTTAAAGATGGCGTCTGTTTACAAGAGCCCTGTGGAAGCTGATGTGAACCCCATGTAGCCGTAGGAGTTTTGAATGGAATGTGAAAAATACAAATACCCGGAGGCGCGTAGCGCACCCCAGACGTGGGCCTGCAGGCACGTTGCACAGTTAAAGGGTTAAGGACCTGCCCGAAACGCTGTGCATACTAGTGGCTTTACAAGATTGTAAATACCATGCTATGTATCCTCTCAAACCCAATGTACCTTCTTGTATATAAATAAATAAAATAAAATAAATAAATAAAATAAATAATAAATAAAAGCATTTGATCAAGTTGAGAAACTATGTACCATGTCCATACATACATGTATGTATTGTGCCATTTAAGGGTTAATAGTGATAAATTCCAGGTACTCAGGTACGGTAAAATGAAGACCTTAACCCCCAAGCTGCTAAGAGGTACTGAGGAGATTTACACCCCTGTGTGCAAGAAAAAAAATTCTAAATTTTTTTTCATCTTTCTAAAATTGTTATTTTGTGTTCCCTGAGCACGGGAAAAAAATTGTAGGTGACATACAGGCATACCTCAGAATACGATTTTAATCCGTTCCTGGAGACGCCTCGCCTTCCGAAAACTCGCATTCCGAAGTTAATTTCCCCATAAGAAATAAAGGGAAATGAATTAATCCGTTCCTGACTACCCCAAAAACCCCACATCAAACTAAATTTTTATACCTAATTCATCTAAATAAACCTACAAAAGTATGTTCCAGTTATTACTTACCTTACTGTCGAGTGCTGTAGGCGTATGGAAGATGGTGAGGAGGGGGGAGGAGGAGAGGAGTTAGTGTTTGGAAGGGGAGTCCCCTTCCATAATCACATCAGGCAGTGAGGACCTTTCTGGTGTGCTCTCCCTGGGACGTTTAACCTGAGTGCCACTAGGTCCTGGTTGAGGTTCACTGCTCGATTTCTTCACCAAATATTTGTCCATGAAAGCTTGCTTTTCCCTTCTTCGCAAGCTCTCTCTGTAGTAAGGCATCACAGTGTCATTGAAAAGATTAAGACAACGGCCTACTACAGTTTTGTCTGGGTGAGTGTGTTCAATAGTTGTTTGAATCTCTTCCCACATCTGACACACCTTCTTCATTACTGCAGAAGGGACATTCGCTGGTGCTGTTGCCACCACCTCCTCCTCCACTGCAGAATCATTCGCTGCTGTGTTGGCTTCCTGTTCCTGTTGAAGGGCTAGGAGTTCTTCGGTGGTCAGTTCTTCGTTGTGTTCTTCCACCAACTCCTCCACATCATCACCATCCAATTCGAAGCCCATTTTCTGGCCTAGACTAACAATTTCCTCAACAATAGGCGCATCATTTATAGGCTCAAACCCCTCAAAGTCTAGTTCTCTCACACCTTCAGGCCACAATTTTCTCCAGCCAGAGATCAGGGTTCTTTGAGTCACTTCTTGCCAGGCTTTGTCAACGAGTTTTAAAGCACTAAAAATGTTAAAATGCTCTCTCCAGAACTCTTTGAGGGTGAGGTTTGTGGCTTCAGTCACTTCAAAACATTTCCGGAAAAGTGCCCTTTCATACAGTTTCTTAAAATTCGCTATGATTTTCTGGTCCATAGGCTGAATTAGAGGAGTGGTGTTAGGAGGAAGGAATTTAACTGTGAGGAATTTATTGCATTGAGGCATCAAATCATCTTCCAAGCCTGGAGGATGAGCAGGAGCATTGTCAAGGAGAAGCACGGCTCTGAGTGGCAATTGTTTCTCCTGCAGATATTTTTCTATGGCAGGGCACAGCACTTCATTCACCCACT